ACACACACACACACACACACACCTGAAAGCCTTTCTATGGAGGATTTACAACATTTAAGACACACACACACAAAGACACACACACACACAAAGACACACACACACACACAAAGACACACACACACACACACCTACACCTGAAAGCCTTTCTATGGAGGATTTACAACATTTGGGTTAACAACTATGGTTCCACTGATAAAACAGAAAAAAAGTTTACCTACATCCCTAAAACTATGCTCTAACTTGCATACTCCATGAAACCTAACTTTGAGTAGGTGGGGTTATGTTACAATTCTTTTTGGTTTTTGGTTGCTTGTGGGGCTTGAACTCATGGCCTAGGCACTATCCCTCAGTTCTTCTGCTTAAGACATTACAATTCTTAAAAGATCTGTTGACCATCATTCAAAGCACCTAGTTTTTTCTCTCTCCCTCTTCTTCCTCCTACCCCTCTCTCTGTGATGGGTCTGGGGCTTGAACTCAGGCACTGTCCCTTAGATTTTTTTCACTACAGCTCTGCTTCCAGCTTTCTGATGGTTATACCTAGACGTTAAGAGTCTCACAGACTTTCCTTCCTGGACTGGCTTTGAACCACAATCTTTTTCAACATAATGTCTAGTGAGTACCACTGTTGCATTTGTTCACCTTTTGTCTCTCCATTTCTGTGACCTCTACCTTTGCCTTCCCACAGATAGGTAAATGAACAAACAAGACAGAAAGAAAACAAAAAGAGCAACAAAGAAAAATAACTTCTTGTTTATTTCCTGGAATTCATTTCAATAACTATTATCTTTTTGGGTCCGGTCATGGGGCCTGAACTCTGGGTCAGAGCGCTGTCCCTCAGCTCTTCAGCTCAAGGCTAGCGCTCTACCGCTTGAGCCACAGTGCCACTTCCGGCTTTTTTTTCCTGCTTATGTGGTGCTGAGGAATGGAACCCAGGGCCTCATACATGCAAGGCAAGCGCTCTAGCACTCAGCCACCTTCCCAGCCCATCAATAACTATTATGTTATATCATTAGACGCAGACAGGCATCACAGCTCTGTATTCCTCTCCTAATAATATCCAATATCCTTCTTTGGTCTCACTGTGTCTGAAGGCCTAGAGTCCTATATAATTTACCATGTCCTAATGTATTTTAGATCTAGCTTTTGCATATGAGAGAAAACATACACTGTTTGCCTCTCTGAGCTTGGCTTACCTAACAACATGATTTTGAACCATGATCTTTGGATCTCAGTCTCCTGGGAAGCTAGGATTACAGGCATGTGCTACCAGTGCCCAGCTAGCACCTTGTTTTAAAGAGACTAGATTCTTAGCTTGTAACACTTACAAGAATCCAGACAGGAGGACACAGAGATGTGTCAAGTGTGGACCCTGCAGGGGTTGGCATGAGGTGGGGAATCCAATCCTGGATACTTGAATGTCATAGGAGTATTGTTTTTTTTTTTTTTTTTGGTCCAGTCGTGGGGCCTGAACTCTGAGCCTGGGCACTGTCCCTCAGCTCTTCAGCTCAAGGCTAGCGCTCTACCACTTGAGCCACAGCGCCACTTCCGGCTTTTTTTCTTTTTGCTTATGTGGTGCTGAGGAATCGAACCCAGGGCCTCAGGCATGCAAGGCAAGCACTCTACCACTGAGCCAACTTCCCAGCCCCTCTTACTGAATCTTTTGTACCTCGCAGTAAGACAGGATCTTAAGAGACACAATGTAAGCGCGGACACTAGCAGGAACCAGGCAGCTCTGAGGAAGTCCAGTGATCGGACAGCTCTGAACTCTTTATTTTATACCACTTGTTCGTTTCCTTTCAATTTCATGCCATATAATAGCATTACTTATTAAAAGAGAAAAAAAAAAAAAGACTGGTTTGACCCAGAGATAGCAACTGGTAAGACTATGCTTTTCAAGATAGACTTAACTCTTAGAAATATGAGAAGAAAAAACAAAACACTAAATAAAGAAAGAATCGGGACAATCTGTAATCATCAAGTTAGGCTAAGGTGCTGTATGGTTCATCTGTCAGCATTGTCTCCCAATGAGAAGATGTTGAGTCACATTTCACAAGTCTGAACACATGCAGATGGCTGTGCTGTCACTCTCTCATTGATCAAGGGCATTTCTTCCAATGGAACAAAAGCATGGTCTCTGGGTTAGGTGTATGTTAGTGATGACACACAGCTCCATGTCTCATGATCATCACTTGCCTGAACAAGGCTTACATTTATTTATAATCGTAACAATCTCTCTCTTACCTGGACCTTCTTTGAGATTCTGGTGTAAATGCAATGTGCTTCTCCTCCCAGATATCCTCCTCATCGGAGCCACCATCGTCAAACTGCTGTATTCGTTCCTTACAGCATGCTTCAAAGAGGGCAATATTTCCCTACAGAAAAACAGAACAAATGACCAAAACAAACCCAAAAAACAAAAACAAACCACCCCAAACTAGGCTACAATGGGTACACAAGAGGCTGCACTGTATTCTTCTCCAGAATTCACTTTTAGCCCATCAAGGTGTCAGCTTATTCCCCAGAAGAGCAGTCTAGATCTAATTAGAAGCCCATGCCTCTGCTCTACTAGTTGAGCTAAGCAAGGACAAACTTCCCAGATGACAAATTCTTTCTACCTTATCAGGTCAGCAAGAAACCAGTGGTCTCTCATGCTTATCAGCATAAAATCATTAAGTTTGTGCCCAACCAAGGTATGATTGTCTTAGTGTTGCCAGAGGAGCCAGGTCCAAAGGCTGAGAATGACCCAGCCAAAGTTTCCCTCATGGGAATAGAAGATTTCCCTCTGTGCCAAGTATCCAGAGTACTATCACAAACAACACTGGTTTTGTGAGCCTAGTCAACGCTGCAAACACATGCCATGTGCCTGGTCAGGCACTGAGTGGCTGACATCATACATCATCAATATGGGACTCCATTCCCACAATGCAGAGGCCCTTGGGTATAGGGAAACCCCATCCTAACTCCAAGCACATCCTAGCTCCCCCTACCCCTCTAATGTGACACAGGTCATGACAGGAAGCATTTATACTTACACTTTCATTTGTATTGAGAGTAAAGTTGATGTCTGATACCCGATCGAAAGAAACACTGTAAACAAAATAGAAGTATTTTAATAACCCACAGACTCTCAGAAACAGTAGTTATGAATCATTCTAAATTTAAAATGTTTATGGTTTCATTAAAATCTCCATTAGTAGTTGTTGTTGGTGGGTGGCTCACATCTGTAGTCCTAGCTACTCAATTTACTGAGATCTGAGAATTACAGTTCAAAGTCAGGCCAGGCAGACTTATCGTCTGTGAGACTCTTAATCTCCAATTAACCACCAAAGAGCCAGAAGTAGCTCTGTGGCTCAAGTGGCTCAACACTAGCCTAGAGCAAAAAGGGTCAGGAACAGTGCCCAGGCCTCCCCACAACTCTAAATTCAAGCCCTAGGACTGGTACAAAACACACACACACCCTCCACTACTGGTACAAAACACGCACACGCGCGCGCGCGCGCGC